TGTTCATAGTAGCCAGTGAGGGCCCTTCCACACAGCCATATAAACCCAGAATATCAAGGGAGATCATCCACAATGCCTGCTTTGAATTGGATTATCTAAGTCCACAGTGCCCTGTAATTTATTTCTATTCCGCCTTTCTTGAACCCGAAGGTGACTCAAGGCAGCTTACAACCAGGCAGCAATTCGATGCCTAATAATATATGACTAACAGAATTAAAAATACATTCAATAAAAATATAAAAACCAATGCCTTCATTGTCCATAAATTGTCGTCTGAGCCATTCCAATGATCACTTTCGTCTAATACCGTGTTTGACTGTTGTTTGACTGTTGCATTAGATTCCGAAAGCTTGTTCAAAAAACCAAGTTTTCACTTTTTTCAAGAAGGTCAAGAGGGAGGGGGTGATTTAATATCCCTGGAGAGGGCGTTCTACAACCGAGGAGCCACCACTGAGAAGGCCCTGTCTTTTGTTCCCGCCAGTTGTGTCTGTGAAGAATCTAGTTCAAAACAGATGTGGGATTTTATACAGCTTTGTGGAAGGACCTGAGGAAAGATCTAGACAGCCCCTTTAATGTGGAAACTTCTGCAATAAAAAGGGGGCTGTGCAGATGACATTCTGGACAAACCGGAATTAATTCGCCACAAACCAGGAAAACCCTGCTTTGTGGCGAATTAATTTGATAGTGGGTTTATTCCACACCTACTTGGAAGGCATGGGATAAACCCAATACATCCAGACAGTATTCCCACAGTATTCCTAAATTAGCCCAGAAAACTGTGGGAATACACCCCAGAAGCCCCCAAAACACAGTAAAAACAAAACAAAACAAAAGAACACATCTGGGCTCCATCAGACAGCTGCCGGAGTTCTCCTGGTGTGTCATTTGTACATGCCTGAAGAACTACGGGAGCCATCTGATGGAGCCTGGGTGAATTCTTTTCTTTTTTACTGTGTTTTGGGGGTTTGGGGGGAGGGAGTTACAGTGTCCCAGTGCTGTACAAATGACACACCAAAAGCACACGCTTTCTGGGGTGAGTGTAGATGGGACCCCAGGAAGATCAATGTTTTTAAAATGCGGATTCTCCTGGGATAAAGGCCTGTCTGGAAAGGCCCTGAGTTGCTTATGGGAAGACCAAAGTATGGCAAAAATGCAGCAGCACTGTGGGGAGGAGCATCAAACCAGGATGACATGGGGGGCGGGATCAGATATCTTTCCTGTTTCCATAGGCCTTTTCACATAGCCATTTAACCCAGAATATCAAGGCAGAATAACCCACAATATCTGCTTCGAACTGAAATATCTGAGTCCACACTGACACATATCTGAGTTCAAAGCAAATAATTTGAGATTGCATTAAACTGTGTGGAAGGGATCCATATGAACCTGCCCATATGACCTCAGTGTTACCTGCATTTCCCTCTCTATCTGACACAAATGATGTTACGTTAATGAAAAGATGTGTCATGGCTTTTTCTGTGGTGGCATCCTGTGTTTGCGACATCTTCTCCAAAGGATTTGATAGGTTCCCTCATTGCTTGTCTCTTAGAGAGCTGAGAAAACAATCTTATTTGGGTTAGTTAGTTCTCCTGTTCTTCTGTACGGAATTGCTCTGTTTCAATGTGTTTTTTTTGTTGTGTTTTAAAAGATATGTATTGCCCGCTACCTTGAAAATCCCTTGATTGAAAGACTGTTTAAGATATTTAACATACACATAGACATTCAGACATATAAGAATTATGGAATCTAGGTTTCTTCTCCTTATGCACATTCTTGCATGCAGGGATCAATTTTCATTTCAGATAAAAACTGAAGCAGTGCAATATAAATGAGAAACACATGCATACTTGTTCACGGGCACGCGCTATGGACAGCTGCCATTCCATTTGTTGTCATTCTTACCTCTTGAACTTTTATTGTCTCACTACCTCTGTGATGCAACCTGAAGATGAAGCAAACAATAAACACAAATAACCGCAAAGGCTAACAGCAGATAAGTGAGGGAAAAGGTGAAATGTATATGGAGTGGGAGAAAAGAATTGAGGGTCTATATAACCTAAAGGCACTGGATCCTGTCTGATCTCCAAATACTAAATTGGTCCGGGTTAGTATTTGAAAGGGGGGAATGCCAATGAATATCAGATGTTGTAGATTATAAGCAAAACATGTGAGATTCTTGGGGTTCTTGTCTAAGAAATCCTATCAAATTCACTCGGTCACCACACGTAGATGGATGACTTGAAGGAATTTGCACACAATAGGAAAAGGAGACCACATTACAAAAAAAAGTGACTTAGGGCCTGTCCAGACAATACCTTCATCTCAAAAGCTTCCCCAGCAAACAGGAGGGTGGACAGACACCATTCCCTGTAAACATTGAAGCAATCACTACAAACAGCAAAAACCGTGTGATTTCCAAGTGCGAGACTATCCTGGTTTTAAGCCGAATATGCAGATCTTCGCATGTCTGTATGTCCCTGCAATAGGATATCATGGGATGTTTTATCTGGGTTTGTTCCCAGCTTTTAGATGTGTGTTCCTGATAGGTCAGTTCCTAAAAAGAAGGTGGCACTTGAGTAGAAAGCAAAAACTTTGTTTGAGTGCCAGAAACTTCATGAAACATGTGGAGGGCACATTTTATCTAGCCTGGACAAAGTTGTGCCCCCCTAGTCAATGTTGTACATTGTTTCACAAGTAGAGCAATCAGGAACAGCCATGTATAACCCAGGAACAGTACCCTGTTGTTTGATGCCACAAGTCCACAACTGAATCTGTCTGGATAGATGGCCAGGCAGCCAGGCTCTAAAAAGTATCAGTAATGACAAAGTTCTGTTCCTGGCTTGAAAATGTGTGTTCCTGTTTGATTGTGCAGTGCTGGCTCCACATATCCATATCTTGAGTTTGTTTGTTTTTTTAACTGCCAAAGTTTCTGGAGGACCTTCCACAGCAGTCATCTTGGGTGCCTCTAAATCTCGCAACAAAGTATCAAGTCTGAACAATGGAGGTAGAAATCCCAGGACCAACAGGTCTGTATGTGGACCTCTTCTGAAGTCCCGGGATTTTTTGCCCCTGTTTAAAACCCATAATTTAGTACTGTCTGGAAGCGCCCTTAAAGGAAACCATGGTCTTTAGTGTGCAGGAGTTGGTAATAAGAGGTTTTCTGGAAGGTCTCTTATGTACAGTACAAACCAAAGCTGAGTTGATGGCACTCGATAACAACAAAAACATGTATTTAAAAATTCAGTCTATAGTATGCTCTCATCCTTTACTGTTAATTTGTCTCCTTATCTCTTGGACTTTGCTCTGTCCTTATTTGTCCTACGTGCCTTACTCAATAAAAAAGAAGGAAATTCCTCAGCAAACATAAGTGATGAATGTGTGATAAGAACTGATAATGTTCATCTCCCCTCCTCTCTTTCAGAAGTGGGAAAATATAAGGGAGGTTCATGTGCAACGTTGCTGATTTCCTAAGCAGGACCTGAAAGCAACAGCTCAGAAATCAACACTAAGTTTTAACAGGATTTTTCATTCACTGGATTTTTCTGGCTGATTCTGCAAAGGTAAGTGAGTGAGAAGAGCAAACAAGATCCATCCTATCCACCACTTCCTTGCTTATTGTTTATCTCAGATCTTGAGGGAGGGCAATTTTTGGAAAGGAATTTTGGGAACTGTAGCCCCAAAAAGTAATTTTTCCAAGCTAGATTTAATGCTTTACTTGTAGGTTTCTCTCCTCAAAGGGGATGTTACAAGGTCCAAAAACCATTAAAGGCAATCAAAGATTCATGTATCTATTTTGCAATGGTATGAAAGAAAGGGGGAAATAAAGTGATCCAAAAAGTCCTGCCTGCTCACCTTGGTCTGGAGCAACTGTTGTACTTTAAGATACATGGGGCGGGTGAGCTTAACACTGACAGGCAAATGGTTATTCGTTCTAACTACTCGAAAATATGTTTTTACAAAACAACAACAATATAATTTGTTACATTAGAAGCCTTCTTCTAAGTGAAGTACTTTACAATGTGAGTAGCCTGAAAAGCATTAGTAAATTAATGACCATTTAGGACATTTTAGACCAATAATTCTTGAGAAAGTTAAACCACATGGCAGTCAAATTTTGGTTGATAATTTTTACAAGGTGATACTCAGCTCCTCCAGCCTAGTTTTGGGGAGGCCTTAATTATCCATATGGGGTCCAACCAAGAAACATTAGTAGTATCTCTCCTCTAAATAAAGCTTGCCAAGAAATCCCTAGCAGAGGATAGCTATAGGTCAGAGTCAACTTGGCAGCACAAAAAATGACGCCTATACAGCATTCAAATTCAATATGACATCCATGCTTCAGATGTTATACCAAGCTTATTAGTGGTAGGGCCTAAAAGAATGATGTGGCTTTGGAGACAGGACTAAACATCAGGCCCCTCATTGTAACTTTCAATTGATTTAATATGGAATGTAATGTTTTTAAATATCTAATGTGTATTAATTTTAACTTATTTTTAATTTTTATAATTTGGAATTGTGTTTTAAGGCACTGAATAATTGCCTCTGTTGTAATAATAATAACAACAGAGGTAATTATTCAGTGCCTTAAAACACATACAATTCCCAAATATTAAAATTAAAAATTAAGTTAATCCCATTATCTGCGTGCTTTGCATGCCTACAGTGCAATAAGGGTCTTTGGACCATAATAAAATATTGACTTGACTTACACTCTGTTGTAAGCCACCTTCAGTACCCTTTGGGGTAGAGAAAGGCGAGGTTTAAATTGGGTGGGCAAATAAATAAATACATAAATAAATTTACCTTGTTCTCATGAGGAATATAAGGACTAAAATTAGTATCGTAGTATTGGAAATAAAAACCCTATTAGCTCAGGAACCAAAAAAGTAATGTTTTCAGTTTTTGCTTCAAATAACACATTCTAGAGAATCTGCAGGTCAATGCTTCAATTGCAAAGTTATTTTTTTTTCCTTCTAGGATTTTCTGAGGTACGGCCAATGGCGACTGCATTTGAGACTGCTGATACTGAAGAGACCATAACCTCTCTCAATATCACAGTCTACCACCCAGAACAAGAAAAAAAGCAAGTATTCCGTGCCATAAAGTTCTGCCAGCAACAGCAGCTGACAGTAGATGAGTTTGTTAAGTTTGGAAGAAACTGTGACATTTGCCATTTTCAATTTGTAGACACACAAGTTTCACGTATTCAATTTGCCCTCCAGCTTTTTAGACCCTTTGGCAGCTCTGAGTTTGTTTTTGAGATTAAGAATTTGAGTAAGAGAGTCAAGCTAACTGTTGACAATGTTGAATTGGCCTACCTGAACAAGATTATCCTTCCACGGAGATGCTTGGTTTGCTTTGGAAACTACAAGCTGTTAATGCACAAACAAGATGGACAATCTGAGAATTTTTTTGAGATCAGCTTTGACATGTCCAAAACACCACTGTGGCAAGAAGCAGTGACCTTGCCTATACCTGAAAGTGGTGCTGTAAAACTTAAATTTCCAGTGGAGGCAGAAGAAGATGAATAAATGGGAAACGATGTGAAACAGAGAGCCAGAACATTGGAATGGACTATGACTCTGGAGATCAAAGCTTGAATCTCTTCTTAGACATTAAAAAAACCCTGCTGTGAAAAAGTTGCACTCCCTCACTCGCAGAGAAAGGTGAAGGAAAACCTAACAACTTACTGATACCATAACTAGGAAACAATTCAAAGATACACAGCAACAATGAAAAATTGACTGTTTTGAGTAATAACAAATGTAATGATGCACAATATGTGGTTATGGTTACTTGAAATTGTTTAACTATGAGATCTGTAATTGCTTTCCTTTGTTTTTCTTTTTCATTGAAGTGGGTGGGGTCTTTGTGTTGGTGTGTACTCAGTTTGTGTTTATTACAATAGTTTAGTTTTTTATTATTGTGTTTATAGTCTTCGTCTAATTTAACTTTGTCTGTGCATATATATACATACACATGACTCTTTCCCCACTTAAAACGTGGATTGCATAGGTTGTGAATTAAGAGTGTCTTCTAAGATCAATAAGGAAATGATTTTTTTAAAAAAAGAAATGAAGTACTTTTGATGTTTTATATTCAGTGCATGTTTTCTGGCCCACGTTCCATAGCAACCAGCTTTGTACAACCGCACATTAAATTGTACTATGAAGAGGTTAATTTAATATTTTCCATTATTTCCATGTTATGGACATTTTGCCATTATTCATTGAAGGATCCCCTCCTTCATGATAATAATTGCTATTATTGGACCATCTCAGCTAGAACTAATAGAAACAGGTGAGCATTTTCTATGGAGCTTCTGCACAGCACCAGATGAAAGCTCAAAGCTCTGCGGATACCAGCTAACACTCCCAAGGCTATCACTGTTTAGTGTTCAATGCCTGATTCTCTATATGAAATGCATGGTATTTGACTGTACTAAATGTATGTTCCAGGAAGCCTGCAGAAGAGGCCTCATGGGGCCCCAGCTTCTGTCAACCTAGTAGTTTGAAAACATGCAAATGTGAGTGGATCAATAGGTACCACTCCAGTAGGAAGGTAACGGTGCTCCATGCAGTCATGCCGGCCACATGACCTTGGAGCTATCTATGGACAATGCTGGCTCTTTGGCTTAGAAATGCAGATGAGCACCATCCCCCCAGAGTCAGACACGACTAGACTTAATGTCAAGGGGAAAACTTACTTTACCTTATATGTGTATTACAGTATATTCAATATGGCCTTCAGGTAATCTCGTAACATTCAAGGAGAATGTTAATTCTGGAGTGTGCCACATTGACAGGTCATAATTCTGATCCTAAATCAAACCCTTTATATTCCAACTTCCCTATTAGAAGACTGTCTTCTGCAGAGTTTGGGAAAAGTTCATTTTCTGGGTAGTTCATACTGTCTTCTGAACCTTCTAATCTCCCTTTAATAACTTTTCCAAACTCTATACTGTGTGAGGTAGCATGCATGACAATGGAAAGAGTTAAACTTGTAATCTTTTGCATGGGAAGGAGTAATAAATCAACACTCTTTCAGCAATAAACTAATCCTCAAAAAGATACAATATGATCTAACTCTTCCTGGCAGAATAGATACCAACAATAAAACAATAAAAGCAACCGCATCCAGAAAGAGGTGGTTCCTTCTTATTTGAAAACATGTATTTCTTGTAAATTACTAAGTAAGAAAGGTACAGAAAGTGAGAGAAGGTTTATGCGGAAGGACTGTGTGAAAAACTGCAAGACCACAGGATGGGTTTCAAATATTGCTCAAGAGAGAAACTTCCTGCAGGAACTGTGCCAATTGCAACAACACATTCAGTACAGTCAAATACCATGCATTGCAAACCTACTAAATTTCTTTTTAAAAGAAATGATGTAAATAAGCTCAGACAAAAGGGATATGAAACAGCATGCATCAACATGTTAACAACAACGACAACAACGACAACAACAACAACAACTTTATTTTTGTATCCCACCTCCATCTCCCCGAAGGGACTCGAGGCAGCTTACATGGGGACAAGCCTGATCAACAAAGTTAAAATATAACACACTAAAAGTACATAAAACATCATCATAAATCAAACAACAACATAACACAGTATAAAAACATCCACTGAGCAAACAACCAATGGCCTGAGTAATAAACAGTTTCAGCTTAAGCGATTGAGGGGGGGAAGGAAAGGGGACTGAGGCTGTAAAGAACTGTGGGAGTTGAAGTCCAAAACAGCTGGAGGGCCGAAGTTTGCCCATGCCTGATCAAGTCTAACATTCTGGTCATATTAGGTAGTCTACTGCCCACTGAAGGTAGTGCATAAATGCAAAAGCATGGTGCAGAGGAACAACAAATGAGGAGTAAATATGTCTGATATCTGGGTTGTCATTATATATAAGCTAGGAGTTTGATTCATATGGATCTGCCCATCTTTTACACCTTTACCCGAATCTCTGCTCTATATCCTACAACAATGATATTAGGTTAATGGAAAGTTGGAACATGGTTGTTTCTGTGGTGGCAACATCTATGTAATAATGTAATCATGGGATTTGATGGGTTCCCCATTGCTTGTCTTACTTAGCTGCCCAAGACTGTTACTACATTTGTTCTTAAATACTGAATTGCTGTTTCAATATTTACATTTTTTCTGGTTTTGTATTTTGTATACGGCTTTGGGAGTTTCTTAACTGAAAGGGTGTTTAAAGTATGCCACATTCACAAAATCAATACAATAAAAGAAAATCTATGTTTCCTCCTGGGTGGCTGTGTAAAATCAATTTCCATTTCAGATAAGAAAATACAACAGTGCAATATAACTGTGAAATGCATAAATTCTTCTACACAGGAACATGCTATGGGTAGCTGTCATTATATTTTAGTCATCCTGTCTTTACAAATGTACCTCTTGGGTTTTGATTGCCTCAGAAGCTCGTTGATGTAACATGAAGATGGGGCAAACTATGGACATGGGTCACCACAAAGGCTGACAGTGGATAAATATGGGAAAAGGCAGTAGGTAAAGAACATGCTACACAAGGCTTGGATCAAAGGAAGTCATGCCCTCCTGTCTGAAGCCCTGCAATGAAGGGTCTAGTAGGGAGGCGGCGGGTGGTGTGTATCCCATGAACCTAGAGCTCTTCCACTGGTGGCCGCAACAGTAGGCCCTTGGGATCCACTGGGCTTACTTCCAGCCCAATCCACATCCCCACTGGATCTCAAAATATATGAGTTCTCGTCCCATTATAGTTAGCCCTTCACATTCACTTTATGTGGGGTACAAGACCCTGGCAAAATTGAAAAACCTCCAATAATAAAATTACTATTTTTAACTGGAAGAAACCCTTTCTGAGGGTATCTATGCTTTCTAACACAACTCTATGATCAGCTTCTAGTGGAAGTTGACTCTTTGGTCAATATCTGGCAGAGGTTGATAATAGAAGTGCATTGGAGGACCTAGAGGTTCCTAGAGGAAATATTTTAATCAAATTTGTGAACAATCAAATTCGCTAAAGTCAAATCCACAAATGTGAAAGGCTGTTTATATATTGTGTCCCTTATATAAAATGGCCAAATTATGGTTTGCTTCTTAGATTTTTAAAAAATATTTCCAAACCGTGGATGGTGGGATCCATGGATCTGGAGAGCCAACTGTAGTTGGTTACTCCAGAGTAATGAGTTGGAGCTGTACATAATAATAATAATACTTTATTTATAACCTACCTATCTCCCCAAGTGAACTCAGAGCAGTTTCCAACAAAAATAACAAAAAGGCAAACATTCAATGCCGAAAATTGAAGGAAGGGTGGAAGAGAAGGGAGGGAGGGAGGAAGAGAAGAATGGAAGGAAGGATGGAAGAGAATGGAGGGAAGGGAGAAGGAAGGAAAGGCGAAAGGAAGGAGGGAGAGAGGGAAGGAGGGAGGAAAGAGGGAAGGAAGGATGAAAGGGTGGAAGGGAAGGAAGGAGGGAAGATGAAAGAGGGAGGAAAGGAAAGACGGAAGGAAGGTAGGGTGGAAGAGGAGGGAGGAAGAGAAGAATTGGAAGAGAGAAGGATGAAAGAGAATGGAGGGAAGGGAGAAGGAAGTAAAGACAAAAGGAAAGGAAGGAGGGAGAGAGGGAAGGAGGGAGGAAAGAGGGAAGGAAGGATGAAAGGGTGGAAGGGAAGGAAGGAAGGAGGGAAGACAAAAGYGGGAGGAAAGGAAAGATGAAAGGATGGTAGGGTGGAAGAGAAGGGAGGAGGGAGGAAGAGAAGAATGGGAGAAGGATGAAAGAGAATGGAGGGAGGGAGGGAAGGGAGAAGGAAGAAAAAACAAAAGGAAAAGAAGGAAGAAGGGAGAGGGGGAAGGAGGGAGGAAAGAGGGAAGGAAGGATGAAAGGGTGGAAGGGAAGGGAAGYGGGAAGACGAAAGAGGGAGGAAAGGAAAGATGGAAGGACGTAGGGTGGAAGAGAGGGGAGGAGGGAGGAAGAGAAGAAGGAGGAAAGAAGGAGGAAAGGAGGAGGAAAGAGAATGGAGGGAGAACGGGAAGGGAGAAGGAAGGAAAGACAAAAGGAAAGGAAGGAAGGAGGGAGAGAAGGGAAGGGAAGGAAAGAAGGAGCTAAGGAAGGAAGGGAAGGGTGAAAAGAGGGAGAAAGGAGGGAAAGTTTGAAAGTTAAAAGGATAGGATGGTGTGAGAGAGGGGGGCCTGAGGAAAGCCTGGGTTTTCCCATGCCTGCTGTAAATCAAAGCTGACTTGATGGAATGTAACAAGTGTGTGTATATTTAAATAATTCAACCATTTGATTTCATTCTTTGCTGCTTGTCTCTTTAGCCACTGAACCTTGTGATCTCTCTCTCTGTGTGTGTGTGTGTGTGTGTCTCGATCAAGAGAAAGCAGAGGGAAATTCCCCAGCAAATAACCTCCATCCCCCCTCCTCTCTTTGAGGGGCGGGAAGAGAGAAAGGGAAGTCCCATGAGCTCCCGATGCTGCCAAATACGAGAGCAGATGAAAGAAACAGCCCCGAAATCCGGCTCTGAAGTTTTAACCTTCTCGTCCGCCCAGTTTTCCCGCCTGCTTTTTAGGGCATTGCTTCTATAAAGGTGAGTGAGCGAGGTGACATTTGATCCTTGCCTAATCGATTATCTCAGAGTTTGGGAAACTCACTTTTTTTGGGGTTATCTGGAAAAAAAGGGGTTATCTGGAAAGTGGTTTTGGGACTTGCAATAAGAAAAAAAAAGTCCCTTTTCCAAGTTCTGACCTGCCTATCAATCTCAGACAGGTTTATTGCTTCACTCCTGGGCGCCTCCCTTTTTGATTCAAAGCCATTGAAAAGTCTTTCCTCGATCTCGCTACAACAAATTGCAAGGCTGTTTGGAAAGGTGCCGGCTCACCTTGGATCCGGGGCCTCTGCTCTTCCTGACCAGGCGATTGTGGGGACAGGGCGTGGGGCAGAGCCGAGTGTGGACCCTGGCATGGGGGGCTTTCCAGTGTACCCCTTGCAAGCTCCTGCGCCCAGCCGGAAAGCAAAGCGAAAGTGAAAGCCGCGCTCCTATTTCCTGGCTGCAAAAGGGAAGGATGCATGGGTTGGCCTCCCAGTTGTGACACGTCGGCGATTGTGCAAAGAATGGCACCGGGGGTGGCCACATTCTGCCTGGAAAGCTACTGCTCCTACCCTCTTCGAGTTTATCTACACCAGGCATGGGCAAACTTCGGTCCTCCAGGGGTTTTGGACTTCAACTCCCACAGCCTGCTGTTAGGAATTGTTGGGTTTCATCCCTGACTGCACAAGTTTCTAGCCCTCAATGAGTAGTTAGCCTAGATAGATTAGAATGAAGGATTCCTTCCCCAAATTCCTTTTGCATGCCTTATCTCAAGAAGGGGCTTAGAAGAGGGATCGGTAATAGTATGATAGCCGGGTCTGGAAACTCCAAGCGTTACGGAGATGCCGCATCGCTCCTTTGGGAGCGCTGCTTGCGCAAGAGAGACTTAGCTAATGTAAGCCAGGCCAGATACTGATAATATAGAAGGAATGGAAGAGTTCTTTCATGGTGAAGTCCTAACCCTGAACCGTACCATAAGCCTAAGCCTAACTCCTTATCCTAACCCAAACCAAAACCCTAACCCTTACCCTAACTGAAACCCTAACCCATACCCTAACTGTAACCCTAACCCAGGGGTCCACAAACTTTTTAATTAGAGGGCCAGGTCACAGCCCCTCAAACTGTTGGAGGGCCGGATTATAATTTGAAAAATAAAACATGAATTCCTTTGCACGCTGCACATATCATATTTGTAGTGTAATAAACACTTAAAAACAATACAYTAATTAAAATGAGGAACAATATTAACAAATATAAACTTATTAGTATTTCAATGGGAAATGTGGGCCTGCTTTTGGCTGATGAGATAGGATTGTTGTTATGTGCTTTCAAGTCGTTTCAGACTTAGGTTGATCCTGAGCAAGGGTCGGGTAAATGACCTTGGAGGGCCGCATCCGGCCCCCGGGCCTTAGTTTGAGGACCCCTGCCCTAACCCAAACCCTAAACCTTACCCTAGCCCTAACCCTGACACTAACCCAAACCCTAAACTAGGGGTCCTCAAACTAAGGCCCGAGGGCCGGATACGGCCCTCCAAGGTCATTTACCCGGCCCTCGCTCAGGGTCAACCTAAATCTGAAACGGCTTGAAAGCACACAACAACAACAACAACAACAACAACAACAACAACAACCCTATCTCATCAGCCAAAAGCAGACCCACACTTCCCACTGAAATACTAATAAGTTTATATTTGTCAGAATTGTTCTTCATTTTAATTATTGTATTGTTTTAAGTGTTTTTTGCACTACAAATAAGATATGTACAGTGTGCATAGGAACTTATTAATTTTTTTTCAAATTATAATCCGGCCCTCCAACAGTTTGAGGGACTGTGACCTGGCCCTCTGTTTAAAAAGTTTGAGGACCCCTGCCCTAAACCGTACCCTAACTGTAACCCCTAACCCTTACCCTAACTGTAACCCGAACCCAACCCTAAACGTAGCCCTTACCCTGTGTCCCCTCCTTTCTATTCTTCCTTTGCTCTCCCCGCTCTCACACCACCCCCTCTTCCCTTATTTACAGACACCTTTGCGGTATCTCTGTAATGCTTGGAGCTTCCAGGCCCAGCTTTCATACTATCACCCCATTATCTCCTCCCCTTTGAATACTTAGCAATGTGATTTCCTCAGGGAAAACATAGCTTCCTTTTCCAAGGTATTTTTAATTCCCTGGTGAGGCCATGTGGTTAATTCTCCATTTTGACCTCACACCGCTTCTTCCTTTGTTCTTCTAGAGCAGGGGTCCTCAAACAAAGGCCCAGGGGCCAGATATGGCCCTCAGAGATCATTTACCTGGTCCTTACTCATGTTTTTTTCAAATTATAATCCAGCCCTCCAACAGTTTGAGGGACTTTTTAAAAAGTTTGAGGACCCCTGTTCTAAAGTAAGGAGGCATCATGCCATTGTCCAGGCAAGATGGAGTAGATATAGCTATTTTTGTTATTTTTCCTTTTCTTTAGAAGATAGCTTAGTTAAGCTAATTAGCTCCAAGAACCTTTCTTATCCATAATAAATTTATTTTATCTTTAATAAACATATTATTTTGGATCCTATGAAGTTGTGTATCTGCAATCCTGTTCCATCCTGTTGAATAGAAACCAGTCCTTGCTCGCTACATGTAAGTTTTTGCTGGTTATGAACTGTGCTTCTGGCATTCTGTTGTATTTTGTGGAATCACCCCCAAGTGAGGGTTATTTTGAGCCTAACAGCTCCTGATTCCCAACAGGAATTATGGGAGTTGAGGTCCAAAACAATAGGAGGGCCGAAGTTTGCCCATGCCTGTTGTAGACACCTCTTTCTTCAGTGTTATCACCTTCATGAGACACTACTAAAATCCCTTCTATCCAACTCTCTCCCTCCTGGTTATTTATTATTATTATTATTGTTATTATTGTTATTAACTTTATTTGTACCCCGCTAGCATCTCCCGAAGGACTCGATGCAGCTTACACAGGCCAAGGCCTCAATAAAACAACAGTATAACAAAACACATAACTTAAAGCAAATCAAACAATAAAACAATAGCAATAAACAAAAACAATACACCACGACACAATAAAACTAGGGCTGGCCCAAATGTGAAGGGTACATATTAAAAAGTGCTGGGTGTGACAGATGGTATGTCGGAATTTAGGGTAAGTGCAGTGTGCAGACAATCTTAAAACTCTGATAAAGTGCTTCTGGGACATATTGCTGGAGTTCCTATTTTGGTTCTTCTGAAGTAGTTCTGGGCTGCTAATAGGCTTCAAGAGACATCTTGAAGGAGCAAAACAACAGCATTTAAAATCCCTTGCTATGCTTCCTCCCTGATTGAAGAGCCTCCATGATCTGCCTGCTTCAGATATTGTGCCAAATTAGCAACAATGTGACTGAATGAATAATGTGACTCTGGAGAGAGGACTAAAGATGGTGCCACCATTGCCCCTTTCAGCATACTTCCCCTGTTGACATGGGCAAAAATTAAGCCTAAATGGTTCGGGACCTGCCTATCTTCGTGATCGCATCTTCCCATATGAGCCAGCACGTACTTTAAGATCATTCGGGGAGGCTCTTCTCTCGCTTCCACTGCCCTCACAAGCTTGGTTGGTGGGGACAAGGGAAAGGGCCTTCTCTGTGGTAGCCCCTTGGCTCTGGAATTCCCTCCCCAGGGAGATCAGAAAGGGTCCCACTCTCTCTATTTTCTGCAAGGAATCAAAAACTTGGCTGTTCCGTTGTGCCTTTAATTAGGAAGTTCAGCACAGATTTTCCCAGGCTGTCCAGCTCCTGCACTTTAACATGGTCCCTTTCTGGCACCTCTAAGACTTTAATAGCCTAAGGACTTTTGCCTCATAGCCCAGCCCCCCGATTGTCACACTTTCCCTGGCTCTACTTAGGATTCATTGCACTTAGTAATTATGAGCCGAACCCAGCACTTAATTTGCTCAGCCATGTTATTGCTTTTGTTTTTATAATGTTATCTGATTTTATGTTTATTGATGCTTGATATTGCTTGTTTTTTTTACCTGTTTTATTGGGCATGTCCTTTTGTAAGCTGCCCTGAGTCCCTTCAGGGAGATGGAGGCGGGTAATACTACTACTACTACTACTACTACTACTAATAATAATAATAATAATAACAAGCACTAGAAAGTAAAGCACAGGAATTATGGGACCTGTAATCCAAAAAAAGAATGTTTCCAACCTCTGTTTGAAATAACACACTTTTGAAAAAGTAAATACTATTAGGGAAAACGACCCTAAAATATAGCAGAGTATCCAAAAACAAACAGGATACAAAAATTGAGCATTCAGCTCCCAGCTAGCAAAGTGTGAAATGCCGTGTGATGTGGCTGTAAAGAATTAAGAGCTAACATGCAGAGTCCAGTCTTAAAAATCACAGAAGAATTATTTACAATAAGAAATAACTGCATTTCTTAATAGGTAAAGAACTGGGTCTGAGCTGGTCTAATACCCATCGCTTCTAAGGTTTAAAGAGAAGGAAAAAACACCAGTCACTACATCTCTCCTGACACACAAGCAGAGAGAGATCTCAAAGCACACAGCACACACTCGCCTAACAAAAGTGTAAAAAAGGCAGAAGTCTGATTCAAAAAGCTTGCAGTAGAAAAGTATCCATTTAAAAAAAAAACAATCAGAATGAGAGCAGAAACAGAGAGAAGAAATAGAGTCATTCCCAGCTGTCATTCAGCAGACATGGGGGAAGGGAAACCCTTAGTCTATACTAAGTTGACTAAACTGTTCCTCATTGAGGACTTGGGACTTGGGCAGTGTGGCGTCCAACAAATACTTCCTTTTCTTCAGTGAAATTGAAGCTATTTTTTTTCCTTTCAGGTTTTTCTGCAGTACAGCCATGACTACTGCATTTCAGACTGCCGATACTGAAGAGACCACCACCTTTCTCAATATCACTGTCTACCATCCAGAACAAGAGAAAAAGCAAGTATTTCGTGCCATAAGGTTTTGCCAGCGAGAGCAGCTGAGAGTGGATGAATTGGTGAAATTTGGAAGAAACTGTGACATATGCCGTTTTTACTTTATGGACTCACATGTTTCACGGATTCAGTTTGCCCTTCAGCTTTTTAGACCCTTTGGCAGCTCTGAGCTTGTTTTTGAGATTATGAATTTGAGTAAAAGGGTGAAGTTAATTGTTGACCATGTTGAATTGGCCTTCCTGAACAAGTTCATCATTCCACAGAGATGCTTGGTTCGCTTTGGAGACTATCAGCTGCTAATGCAAAAACAAGATGGACAGTCGGAGGATTTTTTTGAGATCTCCTTTGACATGTCCAAAACATCATTGTGGCAAGAAGCAGTGTCTTTGTCAGTACCTGAAACTGGTGTTACGTGTAGTCTATCTCCAGAAGAGATGGATGAAGATGAATAAATGAGAAACATTCAGTGAGCAACAAAGGTCAGTGTGGTATAGTGGATTGAGCAATGGATGATGATCCTAGAGATCCTAAAGACCTACTAGTGTCTATGGGCAAGTTGCAACTTTTTAACGTCAAAGGAATGCAAAAGTAAACCTTCACTGAAGAAATATTGCCAAGAAATCCCAATGGTGTGTTTGCTTTAATATCACCATCAGTGGGAAACAATGTGAAGAAACACCATAACAAGAAAATGGATCAGTTTTGATTTGAGTTTGTGTGTGTCCCTATCCTCCATTTTTGAAGGTCTCCAGCCCTCCTGGACAGTAACTTCTTTGAAGGATTCCTTTTCTCCTTCTAATAACAGGTGGGCATTTTCCTTTGTGCTTCTACAGCTCTAATTGAAAGCGTGTTACTTTGTACTGCCACTTAGTTGGCACTTTGTATCTACAGATTCTGTGTCTATGTATTAAACTATCTAGAACTTTAAAATATATATATTTAAAATGAAAACCAAACAATTCAAAAAAGCAAACCTTGATTTTGCTGCCTTATATTTTACTACACCAATGGGACCTGAGCATCCAGAAATGATGAGATCCACTGGGATACGAAGAGGAGAAGCTCAAAGATACAAACTTAGTACAGGTTGAGCATCCTTTATCCAAAATCCCAAAATCCCAAATTGTCCACATGGGTGGCTAAGATAGTGATACCTTTGTTTTTCAGTGGTGTAATGTACACATTTTTTTTCATACACAAAATTGTTTTAAACATGTATAAAAGATTAGGTGTATAAGGTGCATATGAAACATAAATCTCATGTTTAGATTTGGGTCCCATTTCCAAGATATCTCATATACATCCAAAACAGAGATATTATAAAATCTTTTTTTGAATCCAAAATATATCTAGTCCCAAACATTTTGGATTAGAGATACACAACGTGTATTTCAGAATGTGTGGAGTCCTGCCTAAAACTGACTAACCACCAGTTATTTACTCAGAAGACCCATCAATGTCACCCTACTTATGTGATCCTTCCATGTCTGAGTATAATGGCTTTCCAAGGATTTTATTTTTCTTGGAAGACGCCTGCGTGTGTGTTTTTTTAAATGTGTGGAGGTTGGTGCATAGCCGATCAACACACAGTCTTCACAGAGTGAGGCTCGCAAGCAGTGGCATGGTTAACATGACGATGGTGGCTTCTTAATTCTTCCACCTCTACAGCTGTTGTAATATGTACTATGTTGTCTTCTGCCTTATCAGCCATTGAGATCTTCGGGTCTTCAGATTGTGCTTGATCTGGAACCTCTCCTGTGGCCCCTCCTGGGAGTACATGACTCTGATGGTCACGTCCGCAGGTTCATTGGAACACACAAGCCCCCTCACCACAAGGCGACAATCCATCGAGGAGGCAATGTCACCTTAGATCTATTTAATGTATCCTAAAGACAGGTAAAGATATTAACTGGTTCTCTTATTTGCTACTTAAAGAAAACTTTAAAGAGTACAAGAAAAAAAAAACGAAGGAGCCTGGAAAAAATTAATACCAGTGAGAATTGTATAAGGATGATGATCATGTAAGTAAAAAAAAGTGTACAAAGATCTTTTGGAATTACAGACAGATGATGAACTAGTAAAAGTTGGGCTGTTTTTTTTTTGGGTTTTTTTTTTGGCTCAATGTTCAAATGGATGTGAGAAAAAAAACTGTGGACCAAAAATGTAACATTTACTTTGAGTAGTAACTGAAACATAACTACAACATGATGAATAAATAATACTTAAGTCCAAATAACTTGTCAAAAATGTTCAAGCTGTATCGAATTAAGGTTGGAGATGGTAAGAGAATTGATTTTTCACATGTCAGAGACTTGTAAGAAAAAGTTATTGATCTGGGATATAGATGTTGATTTAAAGAAATCTGAAGATGGGGTTTGCAATGTTTCCAGTGATATTTTTGTTATGTATTAAGGCTCAAGAACAAGATAAACAACTTTGGGCTACTTTTTCAATACATGAAAACAGTCGGTAGAATACTGTTTATGCAAACCTGCAAGTGGACCAGAGCACCGATGGTGGAAGAATGGATTGTTGAAGTTGCGGAGTTAGCCCTAATTGCCAAGATAATGTGAATTTTAAAGACTAAGAACATTTTCTGGACTTTTTGACCAATAATAGTGATGTAATGGTGTTTGAGTTATCAGTATTAACAATCCTATAGGATTTAATTAGTTTTATAATGGTAGAATTTTTTCCCTTTTGGAATTTTCCCCCTTAATTCAATGCAATGTGGAATTTGGGGTCAGAATCCTGATGTGTTTGCATAAAGTATTTAGGTTAGTTTCTTAGTATGGCATATTACTCCATAGCATAGTATAGAGTTAGATTAGTTTAATTGTAATCAGTTACATATATGTATTATATATATATATATATATCTCCTTCCCCCTCCCCCACTTTTTCAAGTTTTCTTTTTTAAACCCTGCTGTTTGTGAATATTTGGTACTTAGGCTATAATGGTTTGTACTCTTGTGACACCTTTGTTTAATAAAAAGTATAATACAAAAACAATGCTTTAGAGTGAAGCAGGTTATTGATCTTCAGTTATTTGTCATGAACAAGCACCAAATCAGCACTAGAATACTGATTATTTTATCTCACAGTTCCTTTCCCAATAATCCCTAATATGAAATCTCTTATTACAGTGCTGGCCACATGATCTTGGAGGTGTCTACAGACAACGCCGGCTCTTCAGCTTAGAAATGGAGATTAGCACCACCCCCCAGAGTTGGACATGACTAGACTTAATGTCAATTGTGAATTTCCACATAGTCATAGGTCAACGCCATTGATTCAAAGACTCTTCTCAACTCAGGGCTAACTTAAGCCAATGTGTGTAAAACTAAGGCTTTTGCCAAAGCACACATCTACTCACTTGCACCAAACCATATTTACCACACCCATTTATCCAGTTTGGACAGATACTGCAGGAGTATATGTAGTCCTTCCCCAAATCTTTATTTTTTATTGCATTTGTATGTCACCTTCCTCCCAGAACAGGATTCAAAGAATCTTCCAAATAAAAAAATAAACATCACAATATATATATTGAAACAATGAAAAGCAGATTCAATAGTATAAACAGTTAAAAACATACATACATTTTGAAAAACAAAACAAAAAAACCCTTAAAAAGTTCTCCAGTTTACATGTTAAAGGTCTGCTCAAAAAGGAAGTCTTCTGCTTGCTGGTGAAAAAAAAACAAAACAGAGGGGGCAGCCTCACCTGTAGATCATAGGATTGATAGATTTTTATAAGGGGATATGGTCTTTCAAATAGTTAGGACTAAACCATGTAGGGACATGACTTTGAACTGTACCCAGAAGCTTGTGCAGCTGTTTAACAAGGTATAATTTTGTGTTCTTTGTGAACTTGGCAATTTCACTACACATGCCTAACTCCAAATGATTTGTAGACAAGTTAAAAGCAGAAGGTAATATATTTAGTTTGTCACTGCAACTTGCAAAAAGCACCCCACGAACTTAAGGGGTTTGACTAGTGTCCAGGTTTTTTTTAGAAAGCTTTGAAAAATATTGGTAAATCTGTGGTTATTCAAATAGCACATTATTCATGGACAGTTTTTATTTCTGTGTCAGGACTGACTTAAGAAACTACAAGTTGCTTCTGGTGTAAGTGAATTGACTGTCTGCAAGGATGTTGTCCAGGGGGATGCTCAGATGTTTGTTTTACCATCCTTGTGGGAGGCTTCTCTTATGTCCCTGCATGGGGAGCTGGAGGGAGTTCAACCCGCTCTCCCCAGATTCGAACTGGTGATCTGTCGGTCAGCAGTCCTGCTGGCACAAGGGTTTAACCCACTGCAACACCAGGGGCTCCATTTCATTGACAGTAATATCACAATATAAAGTAAAAACTGTGGCTCATTGTAAAACAGAATTGTGAAAATCTTAAGTATCTTTATTCAGAATATCTATTGATTTCAATTGAACTTGTTTCTAAGTGTACAGGATTGCACCTAAGTAGTACATTAATGACACCTAATTATTGGCTACAGATATAGCATGTATTGAACAGAACCTGTCTGATTGCAATTAAGTTATTGCTTCATTTTGGCTACTTGCAGGTTTTACAGGGTATTTTTTGTACTTCTTTCACTTTCACTTTCACATACAAACTTTAACATCGGCAAAGTTTTCAAGTGTGTAAAAAATTTATTCACAGCTTGAGAAATTTAAACTTTAAAGACCAGTAACATGAAAAAGTCAGGGAGAGACATAGTACTGTAGCTTGTGTCAAACCAAAAATATACATCTGAAGTGCACACATTTCTTGTAAGAAAACATATTACCAGCATTGAAAAATGTAGCGCTTGACATGTAAATATTTTAGCAACAAAATCTCTTGAAGAAATGCAATAAATGAAAAAAAGGTTAAGCTTTCCAAGCTGTCTTATGTACATAAGCTCTTTCTCTTAACATAAAAGGCACACAGGGAAGAAATCAGTATAAAGTGATCTTGGCATCTTACAAAGGTTAAAGTAGCCATACAAATACTGAATAATTATTTTACTGCCACTGACCACTTAACATCCATAATATATTATTGGGGCAATGAATAGTGAATATAAAAATATACAGTGAGTCTGGAATTATGTTTTTTAAAGTAATCAAGACATGAGAGCAAGAAAAGCTAAAATATACAGAAGACGTAATAGGACATAATGTATCAATATAAACAGCAGTGAAGGTCTGGTGCAGGATAGCAGAGAGACAGATGCAGACACAGATTAAAAGGAGACTAATGTTGCCATCAATGTTTAGCTCATGTATTTCACCCACTTGCCATTACAAAGAACATTGCCATGGTTAGCAAAGCTTCAGTGAGCAATGCAGTTCTACCAAAGTCAGTTATTTTCCGTATTGTAGTTTTGTTCTTTTTTGTAGTGGCAGCTGCTGCCAAAAGCATTGGCCCTGCCTGTAGGAATGTGCAGTTTCATTCTTACATATATATTGCAAGCAACCTTTATTCTCCTTTCAGAAAAGCAGAAAGATGGCCCTATAGAAGGACTAGGAACCCAGTATATAGTCCAGAAACTAGCAGGAGGCAAGCATGCAAAACATATACTGCTGCTACTCTGATCTATTGTGCTGCTGAACATTGTTAAGTATCCAGGTTTATTATGAATTAAATATCTGTGCAGGTGACATTCATTCTTAAAGAGCAAGTTCCATTACAAAGCAGTTTTATTGTCAAGAAAAAAAATCAAATGGATTTTGACAAGTGCAGAATACTTATATCTGGAACTGAAAACCTTTTCTTGATAATTAAAACCAGCAAGATTCTTTGTGAGCGAAACAAAATATTTGACTGACACCATCCACATCATTCATCTTCTTTCAAACGTAAGTAAAACTAATCAAATTCAAGCTTTTACCCCCAGTAATCTTAATTAGTTATATCAATGGAATGTTTCACACACTTGATTGATTTGTACCAGTGATATTTGCATCAATACATCCACAGTAAGTAGTCATGCTTTGTGTCTTCTGCATGAAAAGAACACTTTAAAAACTGAGCTATTATGTCAGCTACTGTTAAATTAGCAACTGTTTAACAAATAATTTTGTACAACTTAAAAACATACAAGTAAAACCTTCCTATCAGCAGCATTTGGCATTCCAAGGTGGGCAAAAAGTGGAACCTTTATTTCTCGAGTGTTACTTCCATAAAAACTTTCGTTTCCAGTGTTTTAAATGAGATGTTATGAACAGATGATTTAAATGAAACAGATGTCTTCTAACATCTTTCTTTAGTCAGAGCTCAGTTCCTAATAAACTAAATTTTGCCCTATATTATCATTCTCACAACCTCTGTAAAAAGTACTGTGCTTGTCAACTAATCATTTTAAAAAGTAAATAAACCAGAAAGTTTAATAATTTCCGAGTGTAAACGTTTGCTATGATTTCAGTAACAAACTCAACAGAAAACAAGTTCATGATTCAAGTATTAAGGTCTTAAGGAGACTTCCTATTAAAATTAGGATGTAAATGTAACACCAATGTAAAATTCAAAGAAATCAAACAGCATTATATTAAAATCCCCAATCAAAACATGTAGCTGTAATGGGTCATTTAGTGTGGACGAATGTATGCTAAATTCCAAGAACTGACACAATGGAATTACTCAAGTGTTTCCATAGAATTCCAAAGGCAGATGAAAAAAATTGCACTTACAATTTAAAATTCAGGTAGCAAACCATACTGCTATTTCTTAACTGACAAACAGTATAACGGTTTCCTTATTTTTCTAGGAATCTTTTTGAACTCAGTTCAAGTACTATCACTGTGCAACTTCCTTGTGTTAAAGGAAGATGTGCAGAAGCAATGACTGAAGGATTGTGCACAATACAGATCTGTACATTTTGTCCAACTTCAACCTTTTGGTCAGATAGCCAAGGGTCACATGATATCATTATCTGTCTTGCTGAGCCGCATGAGATGTTTTTTTGTCTGATGCAGGCAGTTCTAAAACAGGGTTTACAAACCCAGCATACTCAGAGTTGCCATTGTCATCCATTTCAGCACTAACAAAATCATTTTCCCATTCCAAACCATTAGAATCATCAGAGGCAGAAGTTGGATGACTTCCCGTTTTCTTGCCACTAAACTTTAGTGCTGCACGGAGTATATCTTCTTCTGTTTTGGAACGTTCTCGCAGTGGAATCATTCTGTTTATACCTGCAATTAAGAATTTGGATTAACAGAAATCTATTTATATTCTTTAATTTCCTAATATTTCAAAAGTGTGGGGATTCAAATAGATGCATCTGGAATTAACTAGTATCTAAATGAAAAGCATCCTACTCATCACAATGTATTTAAACCAATCTGAGAAAATGTACAATAGGCTTTGATTTACAGCTATTTTTACTGACATTTTCATCTTGCCAAATGATAGCATTCACATTCTGGACCCTTCTCCATAAAGAGGATTTTGTAAATTGTTAATCTTACATCCAAGAATGACTGCATTAATTCATGGCATTCTTTTCTGATTTAGAAGAAACAATCGGGATGCTTTTTAAAAGTTATAAATATGCAGTTTATTTTTTTTCTCACAGGAATTTTTAAATAATTGTTGCAGGAAGAGAAATGGTTTGTTATCACATTTTATGCATCACAGACCAGACTATTTTATACACAGATTCTGTGTCTGGATCCAACCCTCTCTGTCATGGGAAACAAAAACACTTTTTGCAGAGGTCATCTACATTCCAGAACAAGAAAGCCAGAATTCCAGTTTTGGTTACCTCCAGAGTGGGAATATAACACATTTATAATCTCTCTTTTTAATTAAAATAATCGACTCAGGATCTACCTACGATAGCTCATGCAAAATGGCAATGCAGATGGACATTATAAGAATACGTCTTACAAATCTTTACATAAAAAATCCAGTAGTGATTTCCTTTAAGTGTTCGTTTTCATAATCTATTAAATGTCTCTAGTTGTTACAACTGTTCACCTGGAAGTCAAAAGCTCTTCTCATTGGCTGACAGATGGCTTTTTCTGCCCATAACGTGACTACATTAGACAAATTAAATGTTTGTTTACATATGGCTTTTTGTTTTGCAAGATATATTGCCCATATATATTAGTTTTTTTCTAAACAATTGATAACTGATTTTCATTAGTACATCTGTGTCCTCAATATGCAGAATATGCAATTCTATGTAGAGAAAGAGCATTCTCTGCTTCATGTGACTCAGTCACTCACTACTATAATTTGACTGGGGGAAATAAAGTAGTTTCTTTTCCATATCTGCAGACACTTCTCTTTTTTTGAAGATATGTCACACATTAACCTGTGACACAAAGACAATTTATGAATAAATTAGGATATCATATGTTGGTTGATGTTCAAAATCCAACATCTGCTGAGATTCAGCACAATAGATTTGATCACTTAGGCAGGATTCTAAATAAAGCACAAAATAAGTACCTTCTTCATCTTCCCATTCTAAATCTAAGGAATTACTGTCATCATTTCCACTTGTTGATTTGGTTTTGGTCATTAAGTCACAGCTGCTCTCTGTATTTGGTGTCAAAACAGTAGCATCTGATGACAGCCCTACAACAAAAACAACAATAAACAAACACACCCATTAAGACTTGGACATTTTACGTTCAGCAATGCAATTTACCATGCCCCCTGTAACCACTCCAATAAAGACTCCCTTCTATTTAGCTGTTCCCAAGTATGCTCCATCTATGTATTTTTAAAAGGAGAAAAAATCTATTATGCATTCCCCAAATTTTAACCTCGACATATTCACAGGTCAAAGTGAAATAATGGCCCCAAACCATGATGCCAACTTAGATATAAGTATAAATTAATACATTCTGGATTGTTGTGCAGATCTACATCCAAAAAAACCCACATTCAATATTCATTGAAAGAACTAGGTGTTGTAGCTGCAATTTAAGGCAGAGGGGGATAACATTACATTCACACTTACTGCTACTCCGAAAAACTTCATATTGCAGTTTTACATTTCTCAGGTAAGAATCAAAATCCTCTTCTGCTACCGAGCTGTGAAACAACAGACAAGTTACACTCAGGAGGGCTAAGTTTGGAAAAGTGCCTCAAAAGCAACTGAAAACTGGCCTACAACACTAATATGTTTTTTCCTCTTTTTTCTAAAAAAATAACTAAATCTATGAGACTGTTTTGTAGAACAGGCTGCAGAACATTCCAAATGGCCAAAAACACAGTCACAAGAAGATTCCCAGATATACTACCTGGCATTCTATTCAGTATTTATATTCAGTATTTTCAATGCTTTCCACATGGGGTTTCCTTTGAAGACTGTTTGGAAGCTTCAAATGGACAAACGGGCGACAGCGAGATTGCTCTCTGAAGCAGAGTTCAGGGAGCATACAACTCCCTTGTTACATCAGCTCCGCTGGCTGCCGGTTTGCTACTGAGCACAATTCAAAGTACTGCCTTTAACCTATAAAGCCCTAAACAGTTCTGGCCCAGCTTACCTGCCCGAACGTATCTCTCCCTATGAACCATCTAGAAGTTTAAGATCATCTGGGGAGGCCCTGCTCTAGATCCCACCTTCTTCGCAGGCACAACTGGTGGGGACAAGAGACAGAGCCTTCTCAGTGGCGGCTCCTCGGGTGTGGAATTCCCTCCTTAGGGATATTAGATCAATGCCTTCCCTCCTGACCTTCTGCAGAAAAGTGAAAAAATGGCTTTTTGAACAAGCCTTTCATGTAATAGATAAACATGGAAATATGTGAAATTGAATACTGGAACGGCTTAGATGTTGTTTTTGGACGAGGCTAATAGTGAAGGTAGTGGTTTTATATGTTTTTAAAGGTTTTAATGTATGTATTTCATAATTCTGTTTTAAATGTTTATTGTAATTTTTTACATTGTTTTAATGGTATTGAATAGCTGCCTATGTTGCAAAGCCGCCTTGAGTCACCTTCGGGTTTGAGAAAGGTGGGGTAGAAATATCGTAAATAAATAAATAAATTATAAGACAGAAAGCTGAATTTACAATCTTGTAATGTTTGACACCCACATCTATAGTGACTAATAACCAAACTTGATGTTCCACCACAAAAACCCTCCTTTTAAACCAGGCAGAATCCCAAGTAATGGGGATTCAGAGTGCTGGGTACACTCTCTACCTGCCAATCTCAATATCCAATGTATCCCTCAGCTGGGGGAGCACAGCAGTCATTATTTCCTAGCTCCTTGATCTGCAGCACCTCTGAAATCATTTGGTTGGAGTGCTGATGAGCTAAGAGTGCGTTTTGTTAGGTGTCGTTGGCAGAAATAGCTAGGATGACAGATGTAGAATATCATCTATAGTTTTAATATGGCATTGGCTGCTTTTAGTCCAATGCTTTTAGCCTTGTCCATTTTTTTGCAAATAATAATAACAACAACAACAACTTTATTTGTATTCTCCCTATTTCACATTTAAATGTTAACAGTGTATCTTACCTTTGGGGTTCTTCATTATTTGCTCTTTGTGTTATCCCTTGTTGCTGTTGTTGCTTTAAAAAATGAACATAAAATATTTAAAGAAAAAAACTTTGAACCTCCATATTCTAGAATTTTTTTTCTGGATACTCTACTACAACCAAAGCATTCATTTCAATAGTGTTCTCATACCAAATGTTTGACGAATACTCAGAAAGGTAAATTTCATATTCAATATCATATATATCTCAGCTCCATACCTGACACACCATTTCTCATTAGTAACTAACTTTATTCCTAAATGTTTTAATGATATGGTCAAGTGTGAAAATCAGTTTCAAGTGAAATAAAGCAGCTCTATTAATTTCATTCTACTTGCTAGCTTACCAAAACAAATTTCATCCTACCATGAAATATTTTGTACCTGTATTAATAATTCTTACTATTTTAATGTGGTTAAACGCATAAGGACCCTTCACCAAGAACAGTATTTAGGCAAGGATACAGAAAATCCACTTTTATTAATTTTTGATAAGGAAAATGCAATTTTTGATAAAACCTCAAAACACTGAATGGATAATACATAAGCAGAATGAGTGATAAAGCTTCCCCTGCAACACAATATATAAGCAAAACAAATGTCTCTTTTAATAAATGTAAAAGCAAACAAGTAAAACATAAAATCTGGCACAACCTATTTGGACTACTGTATTGTGTTCTACATGGGACTGTCTTTGAAGAGTGTTCTGACACTTCAGCAAACCCCAAAAGCTGCAGTCAGAGTGCTAGCAGATGTTGTTTATAGCAACCCCACTACACCATGCTAAAAGAGCCCCACTGTCTCTTAGTTTGTTTCTGGGCACAATTCAAAGTGCTGTTTATAACTTTAAAACCCCTACATGACTCCCTGCATGTACCTGCTTGGATCCTGAGATTAGCAGAGTCCCTTCTATCAGTTCTACCATCTTCACAAGCATGGTTGATGGGAACGTGAGACAGCCTTCTTGGTGGCTACCCTTAGACTGTGGAACTTTTTTTCCAGGGAGGCCAGAATAGCCCCCTCCCTCTTTCTATTTGAAAGCAAAACCGATTTTATTCCAATCTACTTTTATTACAGAGGGTTTTTAAGAACAGGCTAGGGAGTGCTGTGTTGTTTTAAATCGCTTTTAATTTCTGAAATAACATTAGTCTTTTAACTAGAACTTTGAAGTATTTTAATATTATGCCTATTTTCATTCTTTTTGTATGTTTTCCACTGCATTGCTCTTTTAAACTGTAAGCTGCCCGGATTCCCAATTTTAGGAGGAAGGCAGGGTTAGAACCAACAAATGTGCATTATTTATTTATTTGGGAACAGTTAGAATTCAATGCATAGTCCTAATACACATCTGTACTTAAAATACCTTATACAGAACTTGAGAGATTCTCAGTTTGAGAGAATACAAAAAACAGAAAGCACTACAAACAAAAGCTTCACCTTGTTCAAAAAAGCACGTGGAACTAAGAGCAAGAGACATTAAAGAGGCTCTGATACATATATTTTGGGGTTTTTTCCCCTCACCTCCAAGAGCATTCTTTGCTTTGCTGCCCTGGCTGCTTCACGTTGCGCAGCATATAAAGTCTCCTCTTCTATTCTTAACTTCTCCTCTTGTATGGCTAACTGTATATGAACAAAATAATAAGGGTTAACAAAAGAGAACCTAGCTATCTGTCCTACGAAAATAAATGCACTGAATTCAAAGGAATTTTTTTTTTTGTAAAATTGAAAAAGTAGCAGTAATATAAGGGGAAAAACAAGAAAATATTTTCATACTATCTTCTAAAACCAATTATGTCTTGACTGAATTATGCATACTGAAAATCAATTCTGGTTCTATACAGACCTCTTGACATACATTTTACCAATGGTGCAAGACAAATATTTAAGCCACTGCAACCTAATAGCAATAGTGATTGCAAAACCAGGAGGGCTAAAAATGAATTTTAAGCATTTGTAAACTGTAAATAACACATAATCCCTACTATAAAATTTGTTGTTGTGTGCCTTCAAGTTATTTCCGACATATGGCAACCTTATCATGGGATCTCTTGGAAAGACTTATTCACAGGGGATCAATCTTTGTCCTCATGTGACATTGAGAGTGTGTGACTTGCTCAAAGTCACCCAGTAGGTTACGATGGCCAAGTGGGAATTTGAATTCTGCTCTCCTGGGATGTGATCCAATGCTTAAACTACAACACCACACTGACTCTGCGTTTGTTTTTCTCCTTAGAGAGATTTGGCATTTGCTCCTTAAACTGAAGCAATGATGCTGAGCTTTCAATTAGCCATGATACTGTATTTTCAAATAACAAATGCATCTTACAGCATAAAATCAATGTCATTTATTAAAAAAAATAACTTACATCAATTTTGCTAACCATGTGCCCAATTTATTTAAATTTTGAATGTTGCTTCACAGACACTTGCACACATAGTGCTGAACCTTTGTTCACTTTATCTACCAGGCACATATGGCCATATGATAAATCTTGTTGGAAATATATTTACTGTACCAGGTAGTTTTATGGATGTATGGATATTTTTATACATAGAAAAATGTAATAGGTGAAATTCAATTTTAGAACTAACCCGAGCAAACCCATTGAAATGAAACTTATATGTGTTACTCTACTTTAGTTGGGATACAGAATTTTGCTATCGAAAAACACACACTCTCATCTCTCTTCTTCTCCCAACCATTAAAGCATGACTGAAACACTGGGAAGGCTGTTAGAATTCTTGAACTTGCCAAGCAACCAATGAGCAAGTCTACTGTACGTATTCTTAACAAATAGCTTGCTCAACTGCTTTCTAAGATGCCAATGCTATTTATATTCCTCTTCCAAGGTGAGATGTACCTCTTGTTCTATGCTCTCATTATTTCAAGCATCTCTTGTACCACTCTTTGATTAAATGTTTTTATGTTTGCAACAGCTTAGACAGTGAAGCAGCAATGATGTAACTGCTGGAAGCAGTAAAAGGACATGCTAAGAACACATTTTCAGAATATATATTGAACCCTATGGATATAAAAGTTCTTTCTCTGTTGCCTGGAAGAATGATCAGGAACTATGTGCAGAGGAGAAAGACCTAAATGTGAATTATCACGCCACAATGGTAACTTTCCACAGAAATTACGTAATATTTTGCACTTTGGACATACTGACCCAGTTCAAGGAACCATTTTAAGAACAAGCCAGGAACAAGAATAGAAACAGAACCTTCATGTGCTGTTTTCTTTCTGTCTTGTAGTACATCTCAACTGTGAAACATTTGGTATAATGCCGTATACCCTGTTGTTGAGTTTCAATCGATCAAACTCTTCAAATGAGGTCTACAACATCAGTTTGAACTGGTGCAGCTTTCTATTCTCTTCCTTGTAGTATTCAAAACCTGTCATATATGTGTGCTGCCTATAAACCATCCTTCTCCCCACCCCCAAATCATTTATCTTTTGACTGAAAAACTCCAAGCAAGGTTTTATTTGTCTTTAACAAATGAAGCTTTATCTTATAGCTTATCTTCTTTCTCTGCTCTATTCTCTTTTGTTATCAGGTGGCATCTATTTTAGCTGTTTCACTCATCAGCCTTCCCCATTTGTCAGTCAGTTACTGTGGCCATTTATAAGTATATAAAAGTGAGTATTTATACAGTTACAGTTACTATACTTACCTCTGACTGAAGTTTAGCATCTAATGTTCTTTGTTTTTCAGCAATAGAGTTATAATGTCTCTCTTTTAGAGCAGCGATTTCTTCTTCAGTCAAAGGTCTGAACAAGAGTAAAGAAAAAGGGCTGACACCACTTCAGAGTAATCTATGTATAGAAACAGTATCCCACACACACACACCCCTCTTCTTACACACATACACGCACCCCACTAAGCTTAAATAAACACACACCCTATGTAAGTGTCAGCACACCTCAATATGACAGGATGGTTACCACCTTGGTTGAAAATATGCATAATCATATGCACCATGGGAAGAAGAAAACCTAAAGCAGCAATTGCTGTGTGGCCAACAACATATGTAAATGGGAGGATTTGTCTTTTTGTAAGCACACAATGAAGTGAGTTTGTTCAATAGTAAATTGTAGCCACTTAAGACCATGATGTGACAGCTGCATGTGTACTAAATAAGATTTCTTTTTTCAGATGTAGACAGGCCCTAAGGACAGCTTGTTAACTGGAACCCCCCAAAAGTAGACCACTATTAAAACTCATTTTTACCCAACAATAATAATAATTATTATTCCCCACCTCTCCTTGTGGCTCAGGGTGGGTTACAGAAGAATTAAAACTCCTACACATTGTAAAAATGCCACAAATGCACATATTAAGATGTATTTTATAAAAGATAATATTAAATCGTATTCTCATATTTAAAAGGAAATGCTAGTAAGATGCCTCTTTAATTTTTCAAAATTTAGAAAAATATGGTACTATTCTAAAGAACACGATGCATATGTTGTTGTACAACCCCCTTCTTTTGTGAATGTTTTTATTTGGTATGTGAGCAAGAATCTGCTTATTTTTATCCTTCAGAGCTAACATTACAATTCTATATCCATGCCACTCCCCACGGGGATCAGGGGACTGATGTGTTAGATTAATTTACATTTTTCAGAAGGTGGAATGGAATAACAGTGCATCTTCCTGCAATGCTTCTGGGAGGGCCTGCTTAGGTTTTTTTTTTTAAAGTTTTCTTAAGTTAGCCAAAACTGGGGTGCGTTCTCTGATGGTATTAGGCCGCCTGCAGAATGACCTGATTTGTTGCTTTTGAAAAGATTGGTGGAGCTTTGGACTTGGCAGATTACAGCCTGTTTCCTGTCAACTCCTGTATCACCACCGCTATGGGATAAGGCTTGGGAAAACAATTATATATAAAATGTCTTACCTTTGGCTGCTTCCTGGACTTTCACCCTGTAATAAATTACCAAATAGTATATATTTTATTACAACGTTATAAAATGCAACTGATAAATCTTACTTTAAAAAACTAAAAATACTCCCACCTTAAAAAAATAAATATATCAGCATTAAATGCATGGGACAAAAAAACTCCCTGTCAATATATTTATATTCTATTTTCTATCATTCCATATGATTTGGTTCACAGCAGCTGCAGTTTAAGAATACATGGAAGACCTCCTGCTCACTCTTTATCCAATGCATATAAAATAAAAATACTGGAGAAGGAAAAAAGTAAACCAAATATTCATTTTAAAAGTTACAATTTTTCCTATTTACCATCTTAACAGAAGCAGTTGAGTGTGTTAAAAAAACTAAACAAAGTGGTACACTTAATGGGATTACCCTTCAATCCCATCTCTTATTAAGGTATTTCCAGCTTGAAGGGCTGTTGTTGATAGCTGAAAGAGGAAGAAGCCCACTGGAATAGATTTCTTGGCAGAATTCATGGAGTAGCCCTCCACCATTATCTCTAATGTCTAACACTTCTACACCATTTCTGAGGGTTAAGAGCACTACCTACACATATCTATCTATAATTCTTATTACATCCCTGTAAGGTATATTAATAGTGTATTTCATATTGCAGCTGGGTTAGCTGAATTTAAAAGAAACTTGACTCAGGTCACCTAGTGAATTCATGCAGAGTTGAGTCCAACTAATGATTCCTGATTCACAACTTTGTCTATTACCCACTGCACTACTACAGCTTTTATGCACAGTGAATTACAACAAATGTACAACATTGCCTATTTCTTCATGTAAAGTAGTCAGTGGTGTGGTTGTAAGAATGAATTAAAGCTAGAAAGAGCCCTCTAACCACTGCACTCCTCACCCTTTGTTTCTCTCTCAGGAAAGACTCGGGGAAAACTCACACCCAAAATTTAAATACGCTAGAAAAAATTGCTTCTTTCTATTAGCTCTCTGTATATTACCATTTGCTGCTACCTTTGTTTTATTGGTAATCGATACCTTCGTGATCCAATTTACATTTATTATCTTGGCCCTAAATTTCAATCAGCAGGAAACTACTTACTTCATCACTTTCCACTAGATTCTCAAACTGAAAAGAGATAAAATAATATTTCCATTAAACAAAGAATTTGAGCTTGAAATCAAAATGTGTATTTATCTGTTTACAGAGTCTACAGTGTTCCTGGTCATGCTTAATTACCTACTCCAGCATAAGATAAAAATAGGTCAGTACATGACAAAAATATAATGTATATACTCATGTATAAATTGATCTCATGTATAAATCGAAGACAGGTTTGGGGGATAAAATTATGGATTTTGACATGATTTATGGGCAAGTCAAGGGCAATTTTGTGGAGAGGTGAAAATATCAATGCCACACCGGCAACAATCATAATTTCCCTGCCCAGGCACAGAAAAAGTCCAGAAGCAGTGCGACGGGGGTGGGGTCGTCAGTGCTTCTTTTAGATTATCCTGGGACAGACTACTATCTTGTCTTTCACTAAGACTACTGCAAAATACAATAGCTTGACAAAACACCATCCAGAAACTAAGTAGATATCACATACTACAAAATAATATCATCAATTGTCAGCATTCCCAATACATTTCTGGTCTGAATTCAAGGTGCCTGCACTGGCATATGACAAAAAACTTGACACCCTGCTCCTCTACATAACTTTATACTAAAGTCTGTAGGGGAACGGTTCTGTTTCTCATTACTGAAGTCAATACAAAATGACATGACATGGGAGAGAATCTTCTCAACCATGGCATGTCAGTCGTGTAATGTGGGCTACACTGATGTATTCCAAAATACTCATGTACACGACTTTAACCTGTTTTGAAGTTATTAACTTGTTAACATCTTCAACATGTTTTAAATCTATTTTAAAAAAATTATTGTTTAAAATTGTATCAAAAGTTTGCAGTTCAAAAATAGTGAATTGAACCAAGACATAAAAATACTTAGAGCAGGCCTGGTGAAATCAACTGGCTTTTGTTGTTGTTTATTCGTTCAGATCTTCTTGCAGTCCAAGGCACTTTCAGAATTTTCCTCCAACACCACAGTTCAAAAGCATCTATCTTCCTTCACTCAGACTTCCTTATGGTCCAACTCTCACATCCATGGGTTACTATGGATTACGTTAGTCATAATTAAAGCTCCACTAAGTTTATTTCATCTGCTCTAAGAACAAGTAATTCTAGAATCAATTCAATTTATATAACATTTCTACCAACAAATTTTGGATTATTGAGTTCTCTGATATTATCTGCAAAAGCTAACCAACAACAAGATTTGGAATTGATAAATTTGACTCACCTCTATAGTGAAGTGCTCCCCTGTTGAGCATGGCTTAAAGTATTTTGATCTAAGAAATAAAGCAATATAATCACTATATAATCCATTGTTCATGTGTATCCAGTTTTGCATTCAAAACATTTCAGGCTACCTCAAAAACTGTCACAAGTGCTTCTGGAACTGGAAGAGATATTCTTATCCATGTAGAAAGACACATTATTATCCCAATTTTCTAGTGTCCTTGCACACATGGGGAGCTAGTTGAACAGCTAGTTGTCTGCCTTTCTGTTCTACATCATCTATCAGCAGAACAGCTGGGTAGTCCCGCACCTATCTACCCAGGAAATACAACTCCTGGCAGTAACTGGTTTATAGCACAGGAATTATCATAAAAATTATCCGTCAAAATGATTTACATAACTCCAATCCAATATCAATTCCATTTTAAAAAGATACCCCTAGATGCCATGCATTCCAGTAAACAAAAGTATGATATTCTGCCCAAGAAGAAAGAACGTATATATAGCATGGCTAAATTTGAAGTGCAGCATGAGCTTAGCATGTCCTTGTAACCAACATTGTACTATGTACTATGGGACAAATGATATACTTGCTTATTAATTTAGGGATAGTGTTTCATACACTGACAATTTCTTTTTGTAAGCTTATGTTGGACATAACAACATGTATAATAAAATATTGGGCTGGATTCAGAGTTCCTGTGATCAGAGTTCCTCTCATGGGACAATTCAGAAGAAAGGGGGAGGGGAATTTTTTTCCCCATTTCCAGCTTTCCATTAAATAGTTGTCCTGGAGAGTTGTGAAGCTTCTGGAAGACTAGAAGAAGTTAGAGTCAGTTACAGATGGAAAAATTATCTCCTTCATCTTCTAGTGAGACAATCCACTAGATCTTAAGCTCATCTTTTATTGAAAGAAACAACTTAGATCCAATTACTCTGGCTCCAATCCAGTGAATGTAATATCTTACTGTTCAATCTTATCACATGTGAATCATTACTTCTCAACTGAAATAAATAACCTTTGAAATAATGTTTGGAATTTTATGAACTTATACTAGTTAAGCTTTATCATTTTAGCAATCTTTTTAGGAATAGTACACATATTGTCTCAAGAAAAACAAACAAGTATTCTAGATAGAAAAAATAAAAGCAAACCCACAGATCTAATTATATATATTCCCCAAGACCTTTAAAGGACAATGCTATTAGCCCCCTAGGAATAAAGTGAAAGCTGACAATGAGGACACTGAAACTAAATCTGACCCAGTTTCTGATTATGCCAGCAGCAAATAGGCAGTGGGTCTTTTGCATGAAAACAATTTTAAAATGTGTTGACATTCAAAATCTATACACATAATATAAAAATAAAGAGCTTGTGCCAAAAAGTCAATTTTTACTATAATAATTCATAAATACCAACTCCATTTAAAAAAAAAAGCAATTACAGGGCTAGAAGAGTAGATGATAAAATGAATTAACATCAGCTACAGCAGGATAATGTACAGTAGAGTAATGAAGCACTGGAGATCTCAAAAAACACACATGATAATGCACATTATATTATATACCAACTAATGTAATTAATTCATATATTCCATTATCTCTCATACACTTATTCACACACACATATCTTTTTTTCAGGTATCGGTTGGACTGACTAAATGTGGGGCTCAAACCACTAATCAGATTGTATATTTAAGTAATAATAAAATTAATTGTTTTACACCTTTCACTCTTTTAAACATTTTACACTTCAATGAATATTTTATCTGGTAATAGATATCAAAATAGTAAGCAAATATGATGATGCAAATTAGGTACATATTTCATGTCAACTATAAATTTTCAGCATGGCTTTTACGGAATGGCTCATCTATGCTTTTATCAATGGTGAAAACATTTATCTTTTTTACCATCTTTAGAGCCATTAAGCTGACTCAGAAGTACTATGCTTTATATATTATGTAAGGAAATTGCCTTTAATTGACAGAGCAGAGTTTGGGGAGGGGGGGGGAAGTATTCATCAGGTCTTCAATCTGTTACAGACACATTTTGATGTATCCATATACTCACCCATAACTGAAAATCAGACTCTTGTTAAGGAAAATAGGCATAATTCATAAGCCTAAGAGGAAATAACTGTAGATAGTATAAACTGGTGAGATTATTGTAAGCTCCTCAAAGTGAGTGACAGCTCTTATGAAAAAAACTACAAACAATTAATAAATAATAATAATTTATTTATTTATTTATTGGCTACCCTATCTCCCTGAGGGGACTCGGGGCAGCTTATTATTTCTTATTTTAGTAGTAGCAGTAGTAATAACAATACTGATAGTACTACTAATAATAATAATTTGTTACTTGTCTTTCCTCATGGGTCAAGTTAAGGTACCATAGTAAAAAAATATACATAAAATTTTGACACAAGTGAGATGCTGTTAAGCTGGCATTACTTCCAACATAGCCACTTTCTCATCTTCACCATTGGTTTTTTTTTAAAAAACCCCAAATATACTGTACTGTAAGCTATAGATACTTATTCAGACATAAGACCAAATTAACTTTCTCCATTAAAAAAAGGAACTGCAACTTTCACCACCCTTTCTATTGCCCTATTGTCATGAGCCTTAATTTATTTTCTTTCCCATCTGCTTTAAAACCTCAAAAATTACCATGAAACAAAAATCCAGAAATGGCTGTTTAATTTATTTCCATGTTTGCAAGCATTTTTACACATGGCTGTTTAAACTTTGACAGCAATCCTATGTATTATTTAGCTTGGTAAGCTCCACTGAACTGGCTGTAATTCCTTCTCTAAGTGAACAAAGAGTAGGTAGGCTCCATGTGTTTATGTGGAAGATTACAATTCAACAAGGCTGGGAAAATCTTGCAACATATTAGCCAATTCAACATGGGAAGTACTGATCAATATGGCACAGCAATTCCCATTATTCACAGAACTGTTACAGGTAGTTAAAATTTCAACTGGTTTTTCAAATTGGTGTAAATTACAGCTGTTCACTGTTAGAGACACTGGCTGCAAAAATAAAATCTATATTCTCGTCTCCTGAAGGTCAAAAGACTGCAAATAATCAGCTCTTACTGAGCCACAGGGAGAGGTGGGTAAGAATTATTATTATTAGAAACACAACAAGATGAGTCCACAGCATACTTCCCAAGTGTCTAGGACTGTGTGATGTATAGGTGAATAATGTGTGCAGATCCCAGTAAGGCGGTCTTTTGCAGCTGACAATTCTGTTAGTGCCGATTGTGTTTATGTGCAGGCCAAGGTCTTTAGGCACTGCACCCAGTGTGCCGATCACCTTTACTGGCTTGTGCCATAGTCTTTGCAGTTTGATCTTTAAATCCTCGTATCATGTCAGCTTTTCCAGTTGTTTCTCTTCAATCCTGCTATCAACTGGGATTGCAACACCAACAATCCGTACTTGGTTTTTAAACACGATTGTGAGTTCAGGAGTATTGTGCTCCAAAACTCTGTCAGTCTGAATTTGGAAATCCTAGAGTAGTTTGATGTGTTCATTTTGTGAAACTTTTTCAGGCTTGTGATTCCACCAGTTGTTTGTCATAGACAGATGGTATTTGTGGCACAATTTCCAATGAATCATTTGAGCAATGGTGTTATGCCTCTGCTTGTAGTCTGTCTGTGCAATCTTCTTGCAGCAGCTGAGGATGCTTCATCAGCTTCCTTGCAGAGTCTACACTTGGGACTCTTCAATTTTGGATTTGATGGCATTTCTTCTAATGGCTTGTTCTTGGCCTGCCAGAATCCGGCCTTCCGTCTCCTTTTTCAAAGTTCCATTTGTGAGCCACATCCACGTTTCATAATGAAATACCATCAATCATTGTGGGAAAATAATGCTTGGTAAATATGGGGTGGGAGGGGGGCAGTAGGAAAAGAGGAACCACACCAAGTGGCCACACTCAAACAAGTAAGCCAAAGCCCTGAATCTGCAGAACCTGAACTTGGATGTTGATAACAGGGTGGCTTGGAGATCACCATAGGTCAAAGTCCACTTGGTCTCAATTAACAACAAATAGTAGCTGAATCATTTTAAACATTATTATTACAGTGAAATATACTGATGTGATTTTAATAACTGTATTAAATTACATTGTTTTAATGTTTGGTTTTAATGTAAATGTTTATTGTATGTTTACATTTTGGCCTTGAACTGCTGCTTAATTTGTAAATGAAGTAAATAAATAAATAAACAAACAAACAAACAGAAGAATGACCAGGAAGGTCATCCATTAGCATCCAACCAGGCTGCTCTGTGGTGCCAGAATTCTGCTGAGATTGAGGGGATGGTAAGAGACTGGAGACAGTGCTGGACCTGCCTCAGGTTAGCAAATAGTCAGCTACCTGTCTCTCAGATTTAGATTTAAATTTAGCGGGTTAAAAATACAGTAAATAAAGGCTCAGGGTGGGGTACAACAAAGTAAAAAACAATTAGACATAATAAAGTAAAGGTTTCCCCTTGACATTGAAGTATAGTCGTGTCTGACTTTGGGGGTTGGTGCTCATCTTCATTTCTAAGCTGAAGAGCCAGCGTTGTCCATAGACGCCTCTGAGATTATGTGCCCAGCATGCCTGCATGGAAAGCTGTTACCTTCTCACCAAAGCAGTACCCATTGATCTACTCACATCTGCATGTTTTCAAACTGCTAGGTTGGCAGAACCTGGGGCTAACAGCGGGAGCTTACCCCGCTCCTCAGATTTGAAACAACGACCTTTTGGTCAGCAAGTTCAGCAGCTCAGCAGTTTAACCCTGTCTGAACGTATTATCCCCTATGAGCCATCAAGGCTGCTGAGTTCTCTTGGAGGGGCCCTGCTCTCGGTCCCGCCACTTTTGCAGTCGCGCCTGGTGGGAACGAGAGACAGGGCCTTTTCTGTGGTGCCCCCCTGGCTATGGAACTCTCTCCCGAATGAAATTAGATCTGCCCCCTTCTTCCTGACCTTCAGGAAGCTAGTGAAATCCTGGCTATGGAACGAGGCATTCCCAGAATGATGGCTGGGACCGGTACTTGACCAAAGTTATCGACCACAATATGCGGACTGAGTTGGACATGATTTTATCTTGGCGAATTGGCTTATATGTATTTTATCCTATTTGTATTTTTAATTCGCTGTTGATGTATGATGTTTTAGATTGTATTGTTAGCATTGAATCCTTGCTGTTAGTCGGTCTGAGTCTCTCTACAGAGGTAGAGAAGATCGGGATACAAAAGTTTTAAATAAATAAATAAACCCAGTGCGCCACTGGGAGCTTAATAATAATAATAATAATGTAAGGGCAAAGAAACCAAAATATTGTCCAAAAAGGCAGAAGCCCCCTTTCTAATGGGGAGGGTAAGGATGGACACTACGAAAGTTGAATCTTTTAAACTGCAAAAAACTATTTATTGCGTGGCCATAGCAATAATGACAAACAAGCATACAGGGATGCATTTTCATTGGTTCCCAAAGACAAATCATTTCATTGGTCTAAGCTACCTATACAGTTGTTCATTTGTTGTTTATGATTTTGACTGACATTATAGCACACGTGGGATCCCAACAATGGCACAACTATAGCATAACTATAGTCCATTGTTCTCTGACCATGACTGTATCTTATCTGTTAGTCTGTTGCAAACATGGCTTCAGAGCGACTGGGAAACTTGGGGGTTCTAACTAGCCACCTTGAATAGTAACTTCTTCTTTGGAGCACTGATTTCTCAAAGCATTTTCTGTAAACATAGGCCTACTGCAGAAATAGGCCACTATGGCAGTAAATCACATCTCACCACACTGGAACACATCTCACCACACTAAAACAGTAGATGTGGCTCTTAATGAGACATGCCGCATTATTACGGGGTGTCTGCGCCCTACACCACTGGAGAAATTACACTGCTTAGCCGGTATTGCATCACCTGACATCCGCCGGGAAGTAGCAGCCAATAGTGAAAGGAGAAAGGCAGAGACATCTCCAGCTCATCCCGTTTGGGTATCAGCCAGCACGTCAATGACTTAAATCAAGAAATAGTTTTCTAAGATTTACAGAGACACTTGCTGGAACACTTCAGCAAGCCAGAGTCCAAAAGTGGCAGGCTCAAACCCAGAACCTCAACCAATGGCTGATACCAAATGAGAGACTCTCCCTGGGCACACAGAAGACTGGGCGACTTGGAAGGCGCTGAACAGACTGCGCTCTGGCACCACGAGATGCAGAGCCAACCTCAAGAAATGGGACCACAAAGTGGAATCCACGACATGCGAGTGTGGAGAAGAGCAAACTACAGACCACCTGCTGCAATGCACCTTGAGCCCTACTACATGCACAATGGAGGACCTTCTTGCATCAACACCAGAGGCACTCCTAGTGGCCAGATACTGGTCAAAGGACATTTAATCAACTACCAAACTTGCAAATTTTGTGTTTTGTCTGTCTGTTTGTTTTGTTCTGTTAGAAATGTAATACAATTGACTGGTTGCCCTGACACGACAAATAAATAGTAAATCATGACATATGGGCATTGGGTTGTTGTTGTTCATTCGTTCAGTCATCTCCGACTCTTCGTGACCTCATGGACTAGCCACGCCAGAGCTCCGTCGGCCGTCACCACCCCCAGCTCCTTCAAGGTCAGTCCAGTCACTTCAAGGATGCCATCCATCCATCTTGCCCTTGGTCGGCCCCTCTTCCTTTTACCTTCCACTTTCCCCAGCATAATTGTCTTCCCTAGGCTTTGCTGTCTCCTTATGATGTGGCCAAAGTACTTCAACTTTGTCTCTAGTATCCTTCCCTCCAATGAGCAGTCGGGCTTTATTTCCTGGAGGATGGACTGGTTGGATGTTCTCGCAGTCCAAGGCACTCTCAGAACTTTCCTCCAACACCACAGTTCAAAAGCATGGGCATTGGGAACATCTCTGAAAATTCCCTTTTTAAAACCACGTCCCCTCTAGTAATAATAATACAATATAGACAATATAATTTACACAAATAAAAACACAATTTTTTTTAAAAAAAAAACCTTGCACCAAACACGAGACTGACATAGAGTAGGAACAGAACGTAAATCAAAACTTATGAGCGAAAGTTGGCTTGAAAATCCCTTTTGAAAACTACGTCTCCCTCAGGTAGGCCTAATGGGAAGCGATGGCTCTTCAATGGTGCTTTAAATTCTGGCAGATCTCCAATGAAGAATTGATGCTCTCTGGCCTGCTTGTCACTGCCATGGCTCAATGCTATGGAATCCTGGGAGTTGTAGTTGGGTGAGGCAGAGAAGGTTAAGGACCTTGTGGAATGACCAGATCATTCCACAGCACTGAGAAACCCCAATATCTGAGGATACACTGCCCTTAGCTAAGCCTGGAGGTGGTTCCTCAGGCGAACGGGACAGGCCCATTTGCCAGGCCTCATAAACAGACCTCCTCCAACCCTGACCCTCTCCTTCCCCACGAACCCATCCGCTTACCCTCCTCCTCCTCTTTGGATCCGTCCCGCCGGCCGCCTCGGGAAGAGCCAGCAGCACCACTGCGCCGCCCAGCTGTTCCCCATGGCATGTTGTTGAGGAAGGCGCGCATGCGCGGCACGAGAAGACACCGAGAGAGAGGGGAGGGGGGGAAAGAAGGAGCGAGTGCGCGCGCGACGCCCGTTAAGCCGCCAACTGTTTCAACGGCAAACAGCCGTCAGTCAGAGGCCCAAAACAATAGTAATAATACTTAAAAGAGGGAGGGACGACCGTCGCGATGGCAACCTGCCGCTTTCTCTTGCCCTCGCGCCGCCAAACCCCTTCCTGCCTCTCTCTCTCTCACTCTCTCCCTTCCTTCTCGTCTCAAGTTACGCCTGCCGACAGCGCCGCGAGCGCCTCCAAGCCCCGCCTACTGCTCGGCCACGCCCCTCATTCAAGACAAAAGAGCATGCGCAGATCGGAAGGTTCTTGGCCCCGCCCCTCGCTCCTCTGTGACGTCATAGGCGGAAGACAGGGAAAAGCAGCTGCTGTTGGGAAATGAGTGAGTGAGCAACCCAACAGGGTCTGGGAAACTGGGTGACTGCACAACATGAGCCTCATATGCTGGTTTTGGGGGACTTTGGTCTTCTGAGCTATGCGAATAATATAACATAACGTGATGTAATATAATATATTGTATATACATATTATTATTATTATTATTAACTTTATTTGTACCCCGCTAGCATCTCCCGAAGGACTCGAAGCGGCTTACAAAGGCTAAGGCCTCAATAAAAACAACAACATAATAATACATATAACATTATAAAGCAAATCAAAAAATTAAGCAAAACAGTAAACAAAAGTAATACATTATAACACAATAAAACTAGGGCCAGGCCAAATGTAATGGGTACAGATTAAAAGTGCTGAGTATGACAGGTGAAATATAGGATTTAGGGTGAGTGCCCCCGGAGCCCCCAGTGGCACAGTGGGTTAAAGCACTGAGCTGCTGAGCTTGTTGATCGAAAGGTCGCAGGTTCGATTCCGGGGAGCGGCGTGAGCTTCCGCTGTCAGCCCTAGCTTCTGCCAACCTAGCAGCTCGAAAACATGCAAATGTGAGTAGATCAATAGGTACTGCTCCGGCGGGAAGGTAACGGCGCTCCATGCAGTCATGCCGGCCACATGACCTTGGAGGTGTCTACGGACAACGCTGGCTCTTCGGCTTAGAAATGGAGATGAGCACCACACCCCAGAGTCAGACATGACTGGACTTAATGTCAGGGGACTACCTTTACCTTTACCTAGCATCTCCCAAAGGACTCGATGAGGCTTACAAAGCCCAAGGCCTCAATAAAAACAACAACATAATAATACACAAAACATTATAAAGCAAATCAAAAAGTTAAGCAAAACAGTAAACAAAAGCAATACATCATAACACAATAAAACTAGGGCCGGGGCAAATGTAATGGGTACAGATTAAAACTGCTGAGTATGACAGGTGAAATATAGGATTTAGGGTGAGTGCAATGTGCAGATAATCTTAAATCTCTGATAAAGTGCTTCTGGGACATAATGCTAGGGTTTCCTATTCTGGAAAGGCACACTGGAACAGCCAGGTCTTCAAACTCTTCCTAAAGATTGCCAATGTAGGGGCTTGTCTGATGTCCTTGGGGAGGGTGTTCCAAAGTCGGGGGGCCACCACAGAAAAGGCCCTGTCCCTCGTCCCCACCAGGCACACCTGTGACGCAGGTGGGATCGCGAGCAGGGCCTCTCTGGATGAACGAAGAGAACGCGTGGGTTCATAAACGGAGATGCGGTCACACAGGTAGGCAGGTCCCGAACCGTTTAGGGCTTTGTAGGTGAGCACCTGCACCTTGAATTGGGACCGGAAAATGAATGGCAGCCAATGGAGCTCCTTAAACAGGAGGGTTGACCTCTCTCTGTAAGGAGCACCGGTTAACATCCTGGCCCCCGCCCGTTGGACTAACTGAAATTTCCGGGCCGTTTTCAAGGGCAGCCCCACGTAGAGCGCGTTACAGTAGTCCAATCTAGAGGTGACCAAGGCATGGACCACCCCGGCCAGATCAGCCTTTACGAGGTACAGTTGCAGTTGGCATATAATATTTATAATGTAATACAATATAATAGAAATAATAATTTGATATTATAATTATATATTTTATGTTACATGCAATATTACTAATAATATTACAATATAATGGTATTGTACAATATAGTAGTATATAATATTGATATTGTACTATGCTTATCTATATAAATAAAAGTGTAATGTTCGTTTGTGGGATTAACTCAAAAAACACTGGATGAATTGATACGAAATTTGGACACTACACCCCTAACAGACCAACGAGTGACCATCACTCATAAATCCCTCTCAAAATATAGCGGAAAGGACTTGAACCCCCCCCCCCCAAAGATAAATTACAATACAGTGCATGTGCGAAAACGACAGCTCCCAGCATCCCATAGACCAGGCCCTTTAGGGGAGAAGGATTTGTGGGAGTTAAGAGTCCAAAACTCCTGGAGGGAGGGCCAAAGTTGTCCCATGCCTGATTGACACTGTAGAATTACTGTAATGCAGTTTGACATCACTTTGACTGCCATACCTTCGGATTTGTGCTTTGGTGAGGAACCAGCATCATTTGGCAGGGAAGATTAAAGACTTCGTAAAACTACAGCTCCCATGATTCCATAGCATTGCTTCATGGTAGTTAACATGGTATCAAACTGCTTTAATTCCACAGTGTAGATCAGACGTTTCACCCTCCATGTGGTAGGCTGCTAGGAATGGTGGGAGTTGAAGTCCAAAACAACTGGAGGGCCGAAGTTTGCCCATGCCTGGTGTAGATGCATCTTGTCTTTGGGAAATAAATAAAACAGGCAAAAGGATAAAAGTCTTCTAATACTTTAATTCAGTAATATGAAACACAAAAATCTATTCAAGCACCCACGTTGGAAGATCAGTGTTCACACTTAATGAAAGCTGAGTAAAAACTGAAGTGATAAAGATAGCCAATTTGTGAAAGAACTTGTTTTAGTTGTGTTTTTTTCAATCCAGCATCCACAAATACAGTAAAAACAGCTACAATATTCAAACATGGCAGTTTTAATTGCAGGCCTATGTAATGGATGCTCAGGGATCAGATGTTTCTTAATTCCGCCCACTTCCTGGCAAGCCTTTTAAATCTAGATGCACTCATTATCCTGGCAATAATAGATTATTGTGGTCTAGTGTTCGTAAGGGAGGATGCAGGAGGCACAATACTACTTATTTTCAATCTAACTTCAGGCGCCTCTCAATTCCCTGGTTATCCTTCAAACTCTGGAGTACTTAAATGATTATGATATTTTGACCTTGCCGCCTAGTGCTCTTGTTATTGATGTTGCATGATTATTTTCAAAACAATTATAGTTCATAACCCACTTCACCAAGGAGCAAAAGATTTGGAAGCAAATAAATAATATTGATTTGAAATCCAGTTGAAAGCTAAAATACTGCAAATCAGCACTGACTTGCCTTTCACCAATTTTAATCATCCAAACCCATGTCTCTAATAAGGTTTTATGAATCCTTTGGGGAAGCATTGAACATGTATTTTAAAAAAGGGTCCAGCATTCATAGGGATCATTTTTGAAAGCCTTCCAATATAATTAGCCCAAATGGAGCCCCCTGTGGTGCAGTGGAGTGGGTTAAACCCCTGTGCTGGCACAACTGAAGTTGATAGGTCGCAGGTTCGAATCCAGGGAGAGACGGATGAGCTCCCTCTATCAACTCCAGCTGCTCATGCAGGGACATGAGAGAAGCCTCCCGCAAGGATGATAAAAACATCAAATCATCCGGGCGTCCCCTGGGCAACATCCTTGCAGATGGCCAATTCTCTCACACCAGAAGCAACTTGCAGTTTCTCAAGTCACTCCTGACACGACAAAAAAAAGCCCAAATAATTTAAACATAACAACGTACTTTCATGAATCTAAACTTTATATTTTTGTAAATTGAAGGATGCTAAAATGGAATAATTAAAAAACTTAAAAGAGTCTAAAACCCTTTATATATATATGTTAGGATGCAATGATGATATCCTAATAGCTTTAAGAAAAAGGAGGGCATTCCCCAACCAAGGTGCCCCTACAAAGAAAGTCCTCTCTGATGTCCTCACATAATATATTGTTTCCATTGGTAGGACACAGAGAAGGGCTTTCTGTACACTTCATATTCTAAAATGAAATGTGAACAGTTCTCCACTCACAAAGAGGCCGAAAACATATTATTAATAGTAAAATAATGATTAAACAATCTCTCCTCTATAATGGTTTAAAATTTTAAACACAATTGATTGTAGATAGTGTTCAACCTCAGGAAATAAAGCCCAACTGTTCATTGGAGGGAAGGATATTAGAGGCAAAAATGAAGTATTTTGGCCACATCATGAGAAGACAGGAAAGCTTAGAGAAGACAATTATGCTGGGTAAAATGGAAGGAAAAAGGAAGAGGGGCCGACCAAGGGCAAGAAGGATGGATGGCATCCTTGAAGTGACTGGCTTGACCTTGAAGGAGCTGGGGGTGGTGACGGCCGACAGGGAGCTCTGGCGTGGGCTAGTTGATGAGATCATGAAGAGTCAGAAGCTACTGAATGAATGAACAACAAAGAGTTCAACCACTAAACACAACTTTAATGTCAGAACTTCCATTTGGCAAAGGTAGCATTCAGTAACAAATGCCAGGGCATGTTGTGTTATGCCAAGTTCCAGTTAAACAAATGAAGGGTGCCCAAGTAACAGAAGGGTCAAACAAAGTCCCAATATATTAACAAAATAGCCCCAAATGCTAGAGTGCCTGTAGGCTAGTAGTTTTACCTACATACACAAACCATTGAGAGAGATAAAGCCCAAATTCCATGTTCCAAGTTACCATGGTCACACCGAAAGAGTTTCAGAGTTCCTTCAGAAATAAATATAAACCAATACTCCAGTCCAAGGTCAACAAGTCAACAGTCCAAAAACAGCAGAGTCAGAAGTCAAAGTTAGAAACAAAACACAGTCCAGGGTACAGTCCAGAACCAACAAAGCTGATAGTCAAAGAGTCCAGATTCCTACCACAATACAAATACATTGTCTCCTTCAGCAAGACTGAACCCTTGATAGCCTTTTATCCTATTATCTCAGGTGTTGTCTGTGTAGAGTCCATTTCTCCTCTAATTGTGCAGACCTGCAGGTCTCAGCAAGATCTCCCTTGTATTCTAAAAGGGATGGTACATTTAACCCTCCCTCAGCCTGCCCTGATATACCGGCTTATGTTTGCTGGGAAGTGTTGGCTACTGCTGAAGCCTCCTCTGCAATAACTAAGCTAGTTTGGGGGTGGTGGTGGAGCTGGTGGTCTCCAACTCATCCTCACTGGATAGCACTTCAATTTGGCAATGG